CTGTAGTCCACGAAAGCTTATGCTCTAATAAATTTGTTAGTCTCTAAGGTGCCACAAGTCCTCCTGTTCTTTTTTTTAAGAGGGTAAATCATCGAAAACACAAATTAAGCACAGGCATGAAAGTACAACTACTTTGTTTCATCAAACCTATGTATTTATTATTATATATTTTTTAAACGATTACTGCATTAAATTTTAACTGTAAAATTATAGAATGAAAGAGAGAATTATATATTTATTTTAGTTATGATATATCTAGGTTAAAGAACTGACCTACTTCAATGCTTTTTGATAAGGGGTGCGAGAACATATTTTTGAGAACCAAAGGGGTGCAGGCTGCAGTAAAGGTTAAGAACTGATTTAAACATTTAGCATCCCTTTCACCAACCCAAACATCCACAATTTTGAAGAGAGTCAAAACAGATGATATTTTGAGGACATTATTATGCCGAAAATTCCAATAGGACATTAACTCTTATTGGATAATGCTAACAAAGGGGTGGGCAAACTATGGCCTGCAGGCCGCATCCAGCCAGTTGGACTTTTTAATCTGGCCAGCAAGCTCCTGCTGGAGAGCGGGGTTGGAAGCTTGCCTTGTTCTGCGCGTGCAGCAGCTCCGCACGGCTCCTGGAAACAGAGGCAGCCAGGGGGCTCTATATGCTGCCCCCACCCCAAGTGCAGGCTCTGCAGCTCCCATTGGCTGGTAACCACGGCAAATGGGCGGTTCCTGCAGACAAGGCAGTGCACAGAGCAGCATGGCCCCGCCTCCATGTGGGAGCTGGAGGGGGGACAGGCCACTGTTTCCAGGAGTCACTTCAGGTAAGTGGTGTGGGATCCTGCACCCCTGAGCGCACCCCTGCACCCCAACCCTCTGCCCTGATTGCCCACTAAACCCTTTGATCCAAGCCCGGAGCAACCTCCTGCATCCCAAACCCCTCATCCCCAGCTACGATGGATTTGATTTAAATCACTAGTCAGGAAGACTCAATTTAATCATGGATTTCTACATAAAAGTGCATTCTTGTTGGTTGTTATAACCTTAGTACATATTCTTCACAACTCACAGATAGATGTAGATTTCATTTTTAGAAGGTACACACTATACATTTTTAAAGTGATTTATTTTGAAAACTTTTCAGATTAATTTTACCGCTATATCAGAAAATGAATGATTGTTTAGTTATTTCATTTACCAAAGGTAATTGAAGCAGATATTTATGAAGTCACTGGGATGTGAACGGTCATTAATATTTGGAGGATTTTCTTGCCATGCTGTATTAGGAGGAGAACATCACCAGACAGACATTTAAATTGTTTTATTTAACTAAAACAACGTTATATATTCTGGATTTTTTTCTTCAACAGCAAACATAATATTTTAACATAAGCATAGGAATTTTTGAATTTAGTTAAACATTCAAGTTTTTTAAAATCAGGTTTGTTTTTGTTACAATTGTTTAACTAAAATAGTTAATGAAACATTTAAAAAAACAAAAGTTAAATTGATTATGTCAGCCATGATCTCAACATGAGAAACTTAAAATATTAGCTTATGTAGCTAACTCAGTTGTCTTCACCTTCATTTTCCAGATTGTTCATAATCTGGAAAAGAAAAACAAGCTTTCCTGCTTTTTCGGGTCCCAAACGATTTCTCAATTTGAAATGAATTAGTCCAAAGGAAAAAATATTCTTTCTACACCGGCAGAAGAAGCTACTGCTATTAAAAGTGAGAATATCACATCAACAGTCTCTGAATCCAAATGCTTAAAGTCACTGGTGTGACTTTCTTTAAAACATCATCAGCAAACATATTTCTTGAATGGTTCACCCTTAGCTCTGAAATTTATTACAGTTGGCATTATGGAGGGATGATTGCTGGATGTCCAGGTCATAGCCAACTCCTCTTTTTCAGCAGTTACTGTTTGACCCTGGTGCCGAGTATTGAGAATATTTGCAAGAAAATGAGCTGGAAATAGTCCCAGTCGTTTTTTAAGGCTTGTAATTTTGTTATTGCATATTTCTCTTTTTAAGATCTCACTCAGTTCCTTCCTAATGTCAACAGCATCAGCAATAAAACAGCTATTTCCCTGCATTTTGTTCAAGGTTATAGAAATCGGCTTCAGGGTACTCAGCATCTGTTCAACATTTCTCTTAAACCCAATGTTGAGAACTTTGGTAGTGACAGTGCCATTATTTTTTTCATGATTTTTGGTCACAAACTGTCATCAGATTAGGCCAGTTCTTGATATAGTGCTCAAAACAGTCCACTACTGAGTTCCATCACACATCTTGTGGGAGAGTTCACTTGGTTCCTCCCACTTTTTTCAGAGCAGCTGCTGCAAAATGGTTGTTACGGAAGTATTTTGCCATTTCAACAACATTAGCCTTTATTTCTGGAACACTGCAGTCTTTGGCTAGGAGGTGCATCAAACGAACACTGCAACCTTATGTTATTAGCTTGGGACTCTCTTCTAAATAATTTCTTCTCATCTTGGATACACTTGCAGCATTGTCTGTGACCAAGCTGCATATTAGACATTTTAAT